TTAATACGTACATTATATTTGACATTGAGATTTTGGGACTCTTTTTAGCAGTCCAGTTATTGCGTTAAAGAACACAACTGTTACCAACCTTTAAGTGATTCTATAAGTACTTGTCATACTTTAATTCATATTCAATCTAAAGCTATAAAGTATTATTAAGACTTTGAATTATCATTAAGACATTGGAAGTTTCTCTTTGAATATTCTTTAAATTTTATAAATACCTTTGAATATTTTGAAAGTCTCATCAAAATGGTAACAATACAAAAATCAATATTTATAATTCTAAACTAATAAAATTAAGTAATTTTAATAACTAGTTCAAAAAAATATTTTATTTTATAAAAATACAAATATCTTTCTATTCAGTAAATCAATTAAATAATTTTATATCATCAGATTCACCAAGTTAAAATATATATAATAATATCAAAATTATATAATTTGAATTACTAGATACAGAAATATCATGTTTTAAAATATTATACAAAAATCAAAATAAAATTTTTTTAAAGAAATGATATTGTTATTAATTTAATATAATAAATATGTAAATAAAAAGTGCAGTTATATAAAATTAGTTACAATAATATTTTAATTATATATTTAAGTCAAAAATCTTCTTTTTCTTTTTATTTATTTATTTTTCTTTTTTATTATTTCTTATCTTTTTAATTTTTAGTTTATTATTATTCTAAATTAGATATATTAATTACATAATTTTCTTAACATATTTATCATTTTTTATATTTATTTAACTTTTATTTTCTATTTTTGTTATTATCACTTTAGTATAGAACAAAATTATTAATTATAATATAATTAGCTTTTCATATACAGTCAAATCTTTCTATAGTTATCATCTTCAGGAAAATAAAATTTGATAACTATAGAGAGAATATAATTATAGAGAGATTTTTTTTACTATATTTATATGTAAATAAAAAAGCAAAATAGGATAACTATAGAGATGTGTGACTATAAATAGACATGATTATAAAGAGATTTTTTATATGAAATATAAAAACAAAATAGGATAACTATAAAAGTTTGTGACTATAAATAGATATGATTATAGAGAGATTTGATTGTAATATATAACTTTATAATAATAACATAAATTTATTATATATATAAATACAAATATTAATATAGTCAAATCTTTCTATAGTTACCATTCTTGAAAAAGTAAAATTTGATGACTATAGAGAGAATGTGACTATAAAGAAGTTTTTTTATTATATTTATATGTAAATAGAAAAGCAAAATAAGGTGATTATAGAGATATGTAACTATAAATGAATATAATTATAAAAAAGTTTTTTTATTATGTTTATATGTAAATAGAAAAGTAAAATAAGATGATTATAAAAAAATGTGACTATAAATGGATATGACTATAAAGAAGTTTGATTATAATTAATAAAATTTAAGTTCTTTTAGTTTAATTTTTAAGTTCTCTTGGATTAATTTAAGTTTTTTGATTTAATTTTAAGTTTATTTAATTTAGTTATGTTAATTTGATTTATTTTTGAAGTTAAATATAATTTTTGGTTAAATTTTCTTTTAGCTTAGTCTTGTTTTAGATTTAGTTTTATTATTTTTATTCTGCTATAAATACTATTTAATAAATTCAAAATAAATTATCATGAATATAGTTATTATTGTTATTTTGAAATACTTTTATATGTAAAAACTCAAAATAATAACAATATCAAAATTATCTAATTTGGTTTATCAAATGCAGAAATATTCACAAAAAACTATTTTCTTCAAAAAATTTTATTCTAATTTTGTACATTATCTTTAAAATATAACATCTTTGTATTTAATAAACCAAATTGAATAATTTTAATATCATTAAATATGCCTTAATTTGGTAAATTTAATTATAAAAATATTTGTATCTTTGTAAAATAAATATTTTTTATATAAATTTTAGTTTGATATTAAATTTTATTTTTATATTTTTGTATTTTTTATTTGAACTAATTATTGAAATAATTTGAAATTTTGATATAATGAATATGTTTCAATAATTTCATTAGTTTAAAATTATAAATCTTGTTTTTTGTATTATTATATTTAAAAAAGTATTTATAATATTCTGGAAGATCACTGTATTTAAGTTTTGTTTAAACTATTTAGTTTTAATTTAGCTTTATTTTATAATTTCTTATCTTAATTGCAAAATTATATTTGTTTTTAGCTTTATTATAATATTTTATTTTAATTGCAAAGTTATATAATACATAAAATCTAAAATCATCAAATATTTATATTTTATAAATGATATAAACTTTTTAAATACAAAATTTAATCTATAAATATGCTCAAAAAAGATCTATTTTATTATATTCATAAATTAAATTTGTATTTATTTCTTAGTAAAGAAGTTTATTCATTTTATAAAATACAAATGTTTGATGACTTTAGATGGTATCATATAACTATTGATTAATATAATAATCATATAATTAGTATTAAAACAACTGAAAATAAAAAGAAAATTTTACTAATGTTTTGGAATGTATGGCTAATGATACAAAACTTTCACTAATTTGTATTTTCAAGCTTGCTAATATTTTTCATGAAAATTTTCCTTCTCGAATTCTAATTCGCACAAATGATAAAGATTGAATGAATGGATATGAGATGCTTTGATGAACAGAGAATGTGTGAAAGAAGCAAAATAAATTTGGTAATACAAGATCTTTACTTGTATTAGATTCTTTGCTGGTCATTTCTGTCAAACATCGCTTTGATGAAAAAAATACCAACTTAGCTGTGGTTTTTAAACCATATGCGCTTTTAGCTGAGTGAATTAAAAATGCCTGGGAAAATGTTGATGTTGATGTTGAGTTGAATTCATAAATAAATGATGTATCACGTTGTTTAAGGTACTTTGCATTTTTCGAATTTATAATTTGTTGTTATTCTATTTATAATACCCGGGTCTTATACAAAAAATGCACACCAAAACCAAGGAGAGTACTATGGTCTGGAGGTACTTTAACCCACGAAATACGGTATTCTAAGTTGATTATAATCAATATGGAATTGGTTAAAGCAAAAAGAACCTTTGTTGTGATCAAAGTCATCCAGTCATCCAAGTCAACCAACAGTAAATTTTATCAAGTATTGAAATTATCAACAGTAGGTGTCTTATTGCAGATCCCCGTGAGAACATCAATATCTAGAAAGACATCCAGTTAATATCACTGCTGCTGGGTTTACTCTTCATCAACGCCTGAAGTCAGTGTTGTCATGGGACAGGAACATGGACAGTCCTATATCCTAATCCGAGAAGTCTTTGCCTTTCTTCGCCACTAAGGCCGTTGCATCATCAATCGTAGATGGTTTGCTCTCCCAAATAAGTAGTGATTTTTGACGGACACAGGACATATCCGAAAGTCCATGTCTGTGTTCGCAGAACAATCTCAACATAGGCCAGCACTAAAATTTCTTGGCCGGAATTAACAAGTGACGTGCTGGCATAGACGCGAACATCAAAGTCCCGTGTACAACACTGCCTGGAGTGTCTTCATTGCGGAATGAAGCTTGTAGCAGACACAAGCTTAAATTCAATCCGAATTCCAAGTTCAATATTAAGTCTAGGCAATTTTGCCAGTAATCTTTAAGGCTCAAGTCTTTTTGTCTCTCGCAAAAAATTTATAACATCGTTTTTATTTTGTTGTGAAGTATAAATTTTATCTAAATCTGATCTTGTTTGAATTCACTCGAAAAAACAGGCCTTCAACTCTGCATTCTGATTATCAACTCTGTTACTGTCCCTACCACGATCAATTCACAAACCAGTTGTTTTATTCAACAAAAAGGAAATGTTGAGAAGCTCGCATTATTCGTTTTTGCTTTGCAAAAGTGCCGTATCCCTTAACGTTAAGAAATGGAACAACTTTGAACATCACGATAACAATGAAAGGATCGATCAACATCAATTTTCGCCTGTTGCACAAACTGGTCGAGATTCATGCTTCAGATTTAAACGTGAAGTTTAAATTTTGATTTCTTATACCAAACAAAATGTCTGACTCTTTGCCATATGCTGCTGAAGCCGAAGCTCCATTATCTCATGCTGAACTTAATGTATATTATAATCTTGTTACCGTTCGTAATTTTTGCATTTCTAGAGAACAAAAATTATCTAATGAATTTTGACCAATGACAAAAAACATACACAGGTTCTACGTAAACAATACGAACGGGAAGGAAAAGAGGAAGCTACAACTCAAACAAAATTTAATTACGCATGGGGGTTAATACGAAGTAAAAGTAAAAGTGACCACCTGACAGGAGTTACATTATTTGCAGGTTGAAGTTAAAAATAACGCTTAACAACTTGGCTGTGGTTTCTTCTTTGATTTTTTCAATACTCCAATCTTAGATTTGAATTTTTGATTATAGAAATCTTTAGAGATTCGCCAGAACGTCAACGCGAATGCTTGTATTATCTAGCACTTGGGTATTACAAATTAGGAGAATACAGTCAAGCTCGGGATTATAATTCTCGACTTTTGGAGCTTGAACCGAATAATTTACAGGCAGATTCACTAAAACTACTGATAGAGGATGCAGTGAGTCGAGGTAAACTAACTAATTAATTCTTTACATATACTATCATAATGAAAAATTTCATGATTGACTTTTCTTCTTTTATATATACACAGAAGGAAAAACTGGGCTCTTTATAGTGGGCGGTGCAGTTGCCATTGTCGCAGCTTTATCATTATATGTTGCCAAAAGAAGAAATGAATAATGATATATATATTGATTGTTCTTATTTATTTGCCAAAAAAGAGTTATTTCTTATTTGTCTTAATCTCTTTATCATCATCAGTAATTTTAATTTACGATAATTACAATTCATTATTTGCTTAACATCAATATTAATATTAACACTAGGTAGATATGAAATATAACAAGAAACATCAAAATTTATTTGATCGGTGATTCCACCATATTAAAAAAGGAAGCTTCCAATCACGCACACTTAATTTTGGCTCAAACACATTGAAATTATATTTCTCCAACCGTTTGAGATATCTGTCACAAGCAATCTTGGATATTTTAGAAATAAAAAATCAATTAGTATCTAATTTTCAAGAAATCAAAACGCGTCAATCAAAATTACCGAAGACAAAAAAACTGGCATAGCTTCTCGTTGAATATCTGGCAAGAAAGATCTCGCCGTCAACAAATGATCATGCGCAATAGTCGCCACCTCGAATACTGCATCGTCGAGTCCTTTAACAGTAGGGCCCTCACGAAAAATTGCTTCCTCGGAGATTTTGAATTTTGCCATCGTGTCCGCGGGTAGATACATCCTTTTCTTACTTACCAGATATGGAAATGCGCGTAATATTGTTACGATTCCCGTTGCTTTACCGATATGACTTGCCGCGTGGTCTGCTTGTATGTTTTTTATGCCGAGTAATTCTAGCTGTAAATAGAGAAGACAAGAGGCTATGTTTTCTCCATAGGATTCCAGATCTTTAATTGACATGTATGGAGGATTGTCCAAATTTGCATCCTGGTTTTTTTGATTTAGAATCGGACATTATTAATTAGAAAGTGGATTCAAGCATAAGAGAAGTCTAGTGAATTTTACCCTCTCATTGATAATCCTTTTGAAGAAAAGAGACGATAATTTACAATGTTCTAATGCGCTATTCAATAAAAGTGCGACTGGTTGATGCGGTGGACTTCCCTTATTCATTATCAGGAAATATAAAATATTGATGATGCATTACTTAAACAAAATTTTCATTCGCATTCATATTTATTTTATACCTTGAAAATGTTATCAATTGATTCACGCCAAAACTGCATCCTCATTTTGCCAATGAGCAGATTACTTGCACTTTCACGTATCATTGCAAGTTCAACATTGAATGCACGAATGGCATAATAAGCGTGTTGCAAGTTTTTTGGGTAGAGTGCTGAGCAAAGGTAGTTTTCGTAATCATGTTTTCTGGTCTTGGATTATTTAATGAAAAGAATTAGAAATCATTGTTCGTATTTATTGGGATCCGCGTCTCTCTTTTTACCTCACTAGATCTATGCAGTATTTTAATGCAGATTCAGGTTTCTCGAGTTGATTTACTGAAGTTGAAAGGGATTTGATTGGGTTATTTGTAATGTGATGTTTATTATTTAAATTATTATAGTATTTTCCAAATTGTTTGTCTGTCATTGAAGCTACCCGTATAGAACGACGCGAGAATAATTTCACAAGCGACATATTCGATGTTGTTAATGCATGCAAGATTACGCAATTTTATCGTTACCATTACCGTCATTGTTGAAGTAATCTCCATTGCATTGTGTTACATCTAAACTCGCCAAATTATAACGATGAATCGTAATCATGTAACATTTAAACTTTGTTCTACTACAAAGAAAATTGATAATTGTGCTTGTGTTCCTAACTTATGAACAACATTAAAAATAGTTAATAACGATTAGATACTTTATAAAATAATAAAAACCTAATTAATTTAAAAACCTAATTAATTTAAAAACCTAATTAATTTCAAACGAGTTTGATGTATTAATTGAGACATGACTGGTTTTAGCACTTTTCAGAAACACAAGCAATTAATTAAAAGGAATACTCCATTCAACTAAAAGTGCATATTGAATTTGATTGATCCATGATAACTTTGAGCTCTATCTGTAATTTTATTAACAATTATAAAGACTCTCTTTTCCACTGAATTCTTTTTTGATGACAACTAAATGGTTTTGAATATACCACAGAGTATTACTCTTCAGTCTCACACAAAATACCAGCTTAAACAACTGCTTGAATTAGATCATTAACGTTAATGGCAGTTCTCGAGGATTTGTGCCCTGCCTTGAAATCATTAGGAAGCTCTTGTGCGCGATATGTTGTGACACGAATTGGGACACCTTGGCAAAGTTGAAGCTTCTTAAATCGGAATAGTGATAAATTGATAATCGGTGATTTATATCCACGATTTCCAAACCCCGCATGTGCATATGTATGCATTTAGATACATGTATATTTTTTGTTTTTTTAGCCATTCTCTCTGTTAAGATGGTGAGTTAAATAAATTTTAGATTTTATTGCAATTCATATGTAAATCCCTTTGAGACAACCTTCTGGAATAACTTCAATTATTTCTCCAAAGATATTTTACGTAGTGATATTCAGTCGTCACGGAAAAATACGTTTAAAAAAATGGTATCACTTTTTCTCGGAGCGGCAAAAAACATTAATCTCCACTGAACTTACAACTTTAATATTAAGTCGTAAACGGTCAATGTGTAATGTTTTGGAATTTGGGGAGCATAAGGTGAATGAATACATTAAAATTGATTTTTTATCTTCTTTATTAATCTTTTGTTGGATTCTTTTATGATATCTGAAGGTTATTTATAAAAGGTACAGATGTTTGAATTTTATGTGACTCCACTTTAATGCATTGGAAAATCTAAAACTATGATGATATTATTAGATATGCAAGTCTTTACTTTGCTGCTGGAATAGACTGGGATGAAAATGAATTATACGTATTAGAAGTGATACATCGCTATGTACAAGTGTTGGACGAGTATTTTGGAAATGTGTGCGAGTTGGATATCATTTATAATTTTGATAAGGTTTGTATTGAATGATGATTGTGTGCATTGGGTTCTTGAGATCGGACTTTTTTTTATTTGATATTTATTTAGGCGTATCAGGTTTTAGATGAATTGATAATGGGTAAGTGTTATAAAGATTAAACTCGAAAACTATTATGAAGGAGGAGTTTATTGAATAATATACCACTTTCTTTGAAGGCGGGGAGATGCAAGAACCAAGTCGAAAAGCTATTGTTCGTAAGTAAATTAATTTCTTATTTTTTGTATATATTTCATTTAGTTATAGTATTAGATAATCAGAATTTATTTTATTTAGGCCATGTAACAGGTTTCGAAAAGTTCTGCGAACTAGACGTCATAACAACAAATCTAAAAAACACAGTAATGTTGTCGTAGCATTTCTATGATCATTCAGAACACCAATACTCAGTAACAAGAATTTCCACAAGCTTCTTCGATCTCCAAATTTGCTCCATTAAATCCAGATTCTCAAAACATCCATGCACCAAATTAGCTAAGCAACTAACAATCAGGAATATAAAATTTCATAGGCTCTCTTATAATGTAAATGACCAACCTATTGAGCTTTGTTCCGATAGATTCGGGTGTTGCTTTTTTGTGTCGATACTATTGCTTGCTAATATCGTGGAAAAGGGAGAAGTCAATCTTAGCTAATTCATTCTTTTGCAATATTCACATATCCAATAAATTATATCAAAGCTTGATAATATATAAATAACAATAACAACTAGATTAGAATGCTAAATAGACATTTGATCAACTTTATTAAAAATAACATTGTTATATCCTTAAAAAGTATGATACTCCTTACAATACTTTTTTAGCAAGCTTTGTTATAAAGAGTCAAATTCGGCATGCAGATCACAAGATGTCCGTTGACTGACAATCTAAATATCCTCAAAATTCGTTGAAAGAAGAAATGACTAATCAGACAGAAGATAAACCAAATAGTCAACCTATCCTTTTCTCCAATAAGTTAGAATTTTATCTAAATGGAACGCGTGTAGAGTTAGAAAATCCAGACCCGGATACTACTCTTTTACAGTATATTCGGTCTATTGGGTTAACTGGGTAACCTCTATATTTTTCAATGAATTTATATAATAAATAAAGTTTAGAGTTTAGTATCTTATTGATGAGTGTAATTTCAACTGAATGATATAGCACTAAACTTGGATGCGCAGAAGGGGGATGTGGTACGTGTGTATCGTATTAATCAGATCATTTTTTATTCAATGAAAAAGTTAAAATTTAATTAGAGAATTAACCAAATTTGATATTGATGATGAATTACAACAGGCGCTTGTACCGTACTTGTCTCATATTATGATTCTACAACACGAAAAATTATAAATTCATCCATTAATGCGTGCCTGGCGCCTTTATGCTCTATTGATGGAAAGCACGTGATTACTATCGAGGGAATCGGAAGTTCACATAAACCACATCCCGTTCAGGTATAAATAATATTTTTTATTTACTAATATAAGTATTTTTATCTAAATTGTTCGTAAATAAAAAATTAGGAAAGGATCGCGTTGTTACATGGGTAATTGTTGATTTCCAAGGTTCACATCAATCACGCAATAGATTCAGTAAAATAATAATATGAATCATTTTTTGGTATATGTGCTGGACTAGTTCACAATGCGGGTTCTGTACTCCAGGAGTCATCATGTCGCTATACGCGTTACTCAGGAATCATCCTGAGCCATCAGAAAAAGAAATTGAAGAGTGCTTTGATGGTAATAATGATTATTATTTTACAGAGTTAAAATGATGATGATCTCTTATATTTTTATATGTTCTTTGCCTGATAATTAGGCAACCTCTGTCGATGTACTGGATACAGACCTATTCTTGACGCAGCAAAAACTGTGAGGAATCTTTTTTGTCATTTAGAATTTTTTTACTCTTTCGATAAAAAATATTGTTTATAAAACTTCTCATTTACATTATAGTTCGCGTCAGATTCATCATTTACTATACATAAAAACAGAATCGATGGAGACTCTGTCGATTTGGGTGGTAGTTGTGTTGATGATGATTCACATTTGGAAACATTGGTAATGATCGGTTTTTTTAAACAACGTTAATTATATTTCTTTTGCTGATAAAATAAATAACTAATTTTTGATATAGAAAAAGAAAGGATGTGGGCGTGAGAAATGTTGTCAGCTTAACGAAAAGCCTGAAGATTTTATCATTCTTGATAAATTTCCACAGGTGAAAAATAATATATCATTTTCATAACACAACCTACAATCTATTAAAACTTGTTTTCTTCTAATAACAGTATAAACTAAAGCGTTATGATTCGTCACAAGAATTAATTTTCCCACCATCACTCATGAATCGAGTTTCGATGCCACTTTCTTTTACCGGAAGAAAAACGAAATGGTTTCGACCAACAACTCTTAATCAACTGTTAAACCTCAAGAGATTATATCCAAATGCAAAGTTGGTATCGGGAAATACAAGAGTTGGCATTGAAACAAGGTTTGAGAAGTTAGAGTACCCGATTCAGATATATGTTGGAGATGTCAAAGCGCTACAGGGTTGGGAATTTGGAGGTGAACATTGATAACGCTTTTCTTTCGCGATTCGAATTAAAATGCTTTATTTATTTTTTCACTATTTGTGCTCAAAAATTACAGAACATGGTTTGACAATTGGTGCAAATATAAGTTTTTCAAGACTTAAAGAGATTTTGCAAGATGCCTGTAAGCACTATAAGGTAAGCGCTATAAGGTCAGCATTAATTCAAAAATACATCTAAAATTTTTCCCATTAGCCATATCAATCACAAGTTTTCCAAGCTATCCTCAATAGCTTGCGATGGTTCGCCGTAACTCAAATCCGCAATATCGCAACACCAGCAGGAAGCATTATCACCGCCTCTCCGACATCAGACTTGAATCCTTTATTACTTGCAACAAACACTCTCTTCACACTTGCTTCATCCACTAATGATTCCGACAAAAGTAAAATTCGACGTGTTGTATTTTCTGATTTATTCTGGTCCGGAGATGGAAAGACAATATTAGCGGAAAATGAAATTCTCGAGTTAATTTTTATTCCGTGTTCAGTAGAACATGAGTTTGTGAGAACTTACAAACAAGCGAAACGACGTGACGGAGATGCCGCGATAGTTAATGCCGGACTAAGAGTTTCACTCGATAATGAATTTCGGGTTAGAGATGTTTCTTTCTCATTTGGAGGAATGGGTTATGTACATTTGCGTGCTCGACAGTCCGAAAGTTTCGTTAGAGGACAAAAATGGGGCGACGATGAAGTTCTTCAAAGATTATTAGAGACACTTTTACAGGTATTATTTTTTATTTTACCATCTTTTATTGAAGAGGTAAATCTCACGTTTTTTTCTTTTGAATAGGAGCTACAACTTAACTTTTCTGACCCTCGTGGTATGGCATCATATCGTAGATCTCTTGCGGCTGGCTTTGTATATAAATTTTGGCATGATGTCGGAACAAAAGTCGGGTTATTTACTAATAATGAAAGTATTAAGAATATTGTTGATGACGAATTTATTGAAAGAATTGAGCGAAAGATATCTCGAGGCGTGCAAAGTTTTGGCAAACCAGAGTGAGTATTAATTATGTGTCGGTCGTTTAGGATATAAAAGTTTTGAATTAATAATCTTGTCTTTGTGTAGAGATGAAAAGATCCACGTTGGAAAATCTATTCCACATGCATCAGCTTTTTCGCAAGTGACTGGTGAAGCTGTGTATGTGGATGATATTCCAAGAATACATGGTGAATTGTATGGTGCACTCTTGTTATCACAGGAACCGCATGCAAAGATCTTAAGGTAATAAATATTTATACGTATATTTAATAATTAACTATTAAATCCTCCAAATTTCTTCTTTTCACTATATTACTTTCAATCTATGCTATCTGATTGTTAGCATTGACGCAAGTGAAGCCTTAGCACAACCAGGTGTGCGTGGTTTTTTCTTGGCCAAAGATGTTCCTGGGGAAAATAATTGGGGTTTTGTTGTTAAAGATGAAGTAGTTTTTGCGAGCTCGGAAGTGCATTGTGTCGGTAAGTATATTGAATTGCGTCTCGTTGATAGTTTGTTTTTTTTGTTGTATAATAATCTTATGCGTTGCTATTGCTACTAGGACAAATTGTTGGTCTTATTGTGGCTGATTCACAAACCATAGCACAAGAAGCCGTAAGGCTTGTAAAGGTAGAATATGAACGACTTCCGTATATATTGACTATTGAAGAAGCAATCGAACAGCATAGTTTTTTCCCGGGAGAGCCTGAATTCTCTCGAGGAGATATAGATAATGTATTCAATGAAGCTGATCATATATTTGAAGGTATTTTTATGAATCAAATCGATTGATAACTTCAAGCTTTATGATGTGATTAATAAGCATTAATATTCTTTTTGATTAACCTTCCCTTGATATATTTATATAGGAAGCTTTAGGAGCGGTAGTCAAGGTTCGAAAGAAAGCAATTAGATATATTGCTTTTGAATATTATTTTAATGTCTCGATAACAAGAAAGATAAAATATATGTTTCAACGAATAGAACATTTTTACATGGAAACTCAAGCTTCCCTTGTTGTCCCAAAGCCTGAAGAGCATGAATTTGAGATCCATGCAGCAACTCAAACTCCTAAAGGAGTTCAAGAAGTTCTCGCTTCTGTGCTTGGGATTCCATCCAACAAAATAGTTTGCCGAGTGAAAAGATTAGGTGGTGCTTTTGGCGGGAAAGAAACTCGAAGTATCCCATTGGTCGCGGCGTTGGCAATTGGGGCGTGGCATACGAAAAAACCAGTCCGGTGCATGTTGAATCGCGATGAAGATATGACGACTACGGGACAACGGCACCCGGCTTTTGCACGCTGGCGTATTGGCGTGAATAAGGATGGGAGAATAAAAGGACTCGATTTGTATGTAAGTATTTTCAATACAAATTCATATCTTTTTTTGCAAGTAGTGGTCACCAAACTTAAATTTTCCCTTTTCAAAAGATATACATAAATGCCGGATGGTCTTTAGATTTATCATCTGGTGTGTTGGATTGGGCCATGTTTCATGCCGACAATTGTTATTATATTCCGAATATGCGAATTCGGGGTAAAGTTTGCAAAACTAATATTCATTCTAACACGGCGTGTCGTGGATTCGGGAGTCCACAAGGAATGATGATAATGGAAAATATAATGAACGAGGTGGCTGATTCTATGGGTGTTAATGTTGATTCATTAAGAGTAAGTAGTCCATGTTATTGCGTTGGTTTCTAATATAATTATTATGCGAGTTTTTATGTTACTCAGAAATCATTTAATTGATGATTACATAGGAAATGAATCTTTATAAAGAAGGGCAAAAGACACATCTCAATCAAATTCTTACTGATTGGCACCTGCCACAAATGTATCAACATCTCAAAACAACAAGTGAATTCGAGAAAAGAAGACGGGAAGTTGATTCGTATAATGCAAATCATAAATGGCGGAAACGTGGATTAGCGTTTGTTCCCTCAAAACAGGGGCTAGGCTATCCTCATTTGTTTATGAATCAAGCAGGAGCGTTGGTTCATATATATAATGATGGGAGTGTGCTTGTTAGTCATGGTAATTTTTGTTATTCACTATATGAAATTATAGTTTTTTTTTTTTAGATTGAATCCGTAACGAATAATGGTGATGATTTTTATGAAAATAATAACGATAATGCGTTAATGAAGGTGGCGTTGAAATGGGCCAAGGATTACACACCAAAATGCTGCAAATTGCAGCTGAAGCGCTTAGTGTTCCTTTAGATCAGGGTAATTATTTTAAATATTGGTTTTTTCTTTATGATCAATTGTATTTTTTAATATATGCGAACATGAACAACAAATAGTTCACTTAATGGAAACTTCAACAAATACTGTTGCGAACACAACTGCTACTGGCGGTAGTTTAGCTAGCGATATTAATGGCTACGCTGTTGCAAATGCATCCCGAGAGCTCGCGCAGAGATTACAACCATATCGCGAAAAGATGCCAAATGCAAGCTTTAAAGAGGTAAGCATAAAAAAGAAATCAAACTTTATTTACTAATAAAAGTTACACTTTATTATAATCGGTCACTTTTTATAATATAGGTTGTTCAAGCAGCCTACTTCGATCGCGTAAATCTATCCGCAAACGGATTTTACAAAACCCCCGACCTCGGATACTCCCTGGAGAAAAACCAAGGACAAATGGTTTCCTATTTTACGACAGGTACCGCGGTTTCCGAGGTCGAAATAGACATTTTGACCGGTGATCATACGATACTGCGGAGCGACTTGTGTATGGATATTGGAAAGAGTTTGAATTATGCGATTGATATCGGACAGATTGAAGGAGGGTTCATACAAGGTGTTGGATGGTGTACTATTGAGGAAAGCTTATTTTTGCAGAGTGGACATCTTTTTACACGGGGACCGGGAAATTATAAGATACCTGGCTTTAGGTGTAGATCATTTGTTTATTCGCTAGATATTATTCGTCGTATTCCGGTATTATCATCTGACTAATCTCTATATTAAAGGAATATCCCCCAGGATTTCCGTGTTAGCATTTTTCAGGGAGCACAGTACTCTCATCTAAAAACCATTCACAGTAGTAAAGGTATTGGCGAGCCACCACTTTTCCTGGGGTCTTCGGTGTTCTTTGCAATTAGGGATGCCGTCAAAGCTGCAAGGTTATTATTATGTTATCATGATTGTGATTATTTTTTTGCAACTACTGCTGATTCGGATTCGTTTAATTTACAGAAAAGCAAATTCCGTAAACGAAATAGTGAATCTTTGCTCCCCTGCTACACCAGAACGAATTCGTATGGCATGCATCGATCCTATTTCTACGGCTGCAAGTGTCTCGAGGAAAGATGGTGAAAAATCTTGGACTGTGATGGTTTAGTGTTGGCTGTTTTTTTATAGTTTATAGTTTTATCTCTATTTTTCCTGTATCGTGAATAACAAAGAAAAGATCATAATGTATATAAACATAAAGAATAATTTACCATGTCTCTTAAGTTATTGATCAAAATGATGATGTGATCATATGGCGGCTTTACTAAGGTTGATTGTACATGCACTTGGTATTTTTGATCCTTTTACTGATTAAGAAATTATTTATTTTTCTTCTTTAATCACATTTACTAATTCACTATACTCAAAATTGTTTGGTTCTCGATTAAATTTCACCACTAAATTCCATTTGGATTTATTATCTTCACATTTATCTTCACCATCCAAATAAAATTCACGCAACCATCGAACCAAATACTTTGCATTCTCTTTACTCAAAATATTCGGTTTCCCGATTTCTCCATGCATCAAAACCACACCCTTTGTGTCCATTAGATCGATGTAATACGTGAGCACGAGTAACGGCTGAGACTCGGCGGCAAAAGTTTTGTATTCTAGTAGCGAGGTGAAGAAACATTGATGATACTGAAATTGGAGAATGTAGAATTCAAGGCCTGTTGGGTGTGTGAGAGGGATTACAAACTGGGTGTTGATGTAATTGTTAAAAGAAATGAAGGTTAAGATCGGAAACATAAATTGATTGAAGAATAAAAACCATTGGAAATTCTTGTCCACGTTTAAATAGCTTCTTGTAAGCGTCGGCCGACAGGGTATCCGAAATACATGCAATTTTGGCGGCATGATATTCAGTCCATAGTTGACAAATAGTTTCCATGTCTTGTGATAAGATTTTTTCCATCCTCAATATTTTATCTAATGACTTTCAACGTTAAAACGCGTAATCAATCAATAGTTGAAGTTCGAGCGTATATGACAAACAAAAAACGCGTACTTTTACTTGCGCCGGTAAATCTTTGTTGGATGATCCAAGATTATTATTATCAATTATTACTGAAATTGGATAATTATAATGGTTCTGGTAAAACGATTCATTTACTTTTTCGAACGACGAGGTTTTTTGATTCTTTGTGTCTTGTACATACCAGGAGTCGTTTGACGATGATGCCTTTTTAATATTTTCGCTTTCAATTCATCAATTGACGCGTAGCCTTCTCTTAAAATATAATAATTAATTAATCCAAAGTTCATGAATAAGTAATTAACTCATCAATTTGGCAGCTGTATAGATATACCTCTCAGCTTTCTCCTTTAACTTTTGCGCGTACTTTTCCGTAATAGCATTGTTTTTGGAGACGGCAACATTTTTCGTTGTCTCTGTACTTATAGATAATTAAATAAAATATATACGCGATAGATATTGTCTAGTACAATATATGTACCAGAAATCAACCTAGTGGTAGTCCACTGCGTTTTTTGTGCTATTAATGTTAATCTTCTCAGTCGCATCCGAAAGAAGAATGGCTTTAATATAGAAACCATTATTGCCAGTCAACTATGTATCTATTAGGAAAATCTCACGGGCGCTATTTACATCTCTACCATCCAATCATAATGTTATGACCATGTGTCATATTGTTACGGTTTTATAATCTTTTAGATATAGATCATGTGTTTGATCAGGTGGAAGAGTTATATTTGATTAAAGATTTTACATGTTTTAAGTATTTAAAGTTGGAAGAGACTAATTTACTAAAGATAAGTAATGAAGTATTCATTTTGTTGAACAGCTAGAATGAGTTCAGAAATCTTCTTTAATTTAAATGATTTATTATTAAGTAATCTTCTTTTATTAAGTAAGTTTCTTTTATTAATTAACTTTTAATAAAAATATCTTCTTTTTTTATTAAATTTCTAGATAATATTAACTAACTTTGCAGTGTAATGACAAGAGGTTAATTATGTTAAATAGAAGACATCACTTGTTACAGATGAAAGGTCTTTAATAGTTATTGTATTTATTTTCATATAATTATTATTACTAGTACTTTAGAAAAGTTTTAATAATTATTTATTTTTATTTTATTGATTTCTTATTGAAATTATATTCAATTCTGTTATTTTATTATTTAATATATCTTTTATATGAATACAGTCACTTGCTATTTTTCAAAAATATTATTATAGATAATAATTCTGAAAATAATAATATTAAAATAAATAGAATAAGTTTAATATAGATAAATATATCTCTTTTGAAATCATAATAAAATATATATTTAAAGAAAATATATATTTATAGAGAGCAAAATATATAGAGATCTTATAAGCTAAAATTCAGTCATATTAAAAAAGTGTGTACTTAGCTTTTAATTATTTGAAATTCAAAACAAATTTATAAATAAATAGTTTGAAGAATAAAAGCTTAATTTATTATCAATAAAATTATTTTTGGTGTAATAAGTAAATTTTTTTATTATGTTTTATAATATATTTAGTTAGATATATCTTATTTACTAATTTTTATCTATTCAAATAATAGAGCAAATTCATAAAAAAAATAATTTAAAAAATAAAAAATAATTAATTATTTTTTTTATTACTTATTAATTAATAAATAACTTTTATTTAATTAATAATTTTTATTTTAATTACAAAATTATCTCAATTTCTTGTTATTTAATCTTTTATTTTAATTAGAAAATTAGAATTATTTGAATTAATAAAAAGAAATTATTAATATTTTGCTTGTTTATAAATTATTTTTGAAGTTATAAAATATAATTTTTTTGTTTAAAAAGAAAATTTCTAAGCTTATTTTAGTTATTTATAATATAAATATATATTATTTATTTTTAAAAATTAAAGATAAAATTACAATTAATTATAATTTAATTACAATTTTTTATTAATTGTTATAATTAATTATAATTTAAATTATAATTCTCTAATTGATTATTACAAAATTGAAATATTAATTTTATTAAAACTTATATTAATTTTTCTATTTATAATTAATTAATTACAAAATTATATAAATATAAAAATGATTGTTTAAATTATTTTTGAAAAAAATAATATTTTAGCAAGCAATTTAGTTTTGCTATATTACTTATATTAATAAATGCTTATAAATTATCTAGAAATACTTGTTTTAGTTTGTAAAATCCAAATAATTTTGAAAAACAATTTCAGTTACTAATAAAATCAATCAAAATAATTTTAAATTTAATTTTAGCAAGTTAATTTCAGCAAATTATTTGATTAAATGACATTATTTCAGAGATCATTCTTATATAAGTGTTTATTTTTTTCATAATTAAAAGTCAATTTTTTAGTATAAATATATTATTTTTCTTATCTAACTTAATATCATGTGTTTTATATATTATATATTAGAAAAGTATTAAATTATATAAAATAAAAACAATATTGCTAAAACAAATAATACAAATATTTTTATAATCAAACAATATTATTTATTATTACCAAGAATTTTATATAAACTATCAATTTGTTAATAAATATTTTATTTAAAATAATAATTCTTTTAAAAATATTTGTAAATCTTGAAATAATTATAATAAAATATTGTTGAATATGATAAAAAGATATGCAAGCTTGAAGAACAAGAAAATTGGAAACCAAGTTAAAAAGATATATATTAAATATATATATTATTAAACAAAACTTGATTACAACAAACTTGGTGAATGCAAAATTTACCAAAAGCAATGTTGACAAAAAATGCAAATTAATCAAGAAATGAATGCTCTATTTTTTTGACTTGCTTATTTTAAAAGAACTTATAAAATATATTTGCACTGACCAATAGCCATTTTTGCAAATCTTTTTTGTAGTATTCATATATTAGGTTACATTAAAAATATCTGTAAAAGCTAATTATCAAGATTGGAAAATGATAGAAAGCGAAACTAAATGTATGTATAAGATCTTTTTCTGTATGAAAAAACAATTCTTTATTTGACTTCTCTTGCTAGTTAATACATCCATTTTTTTAATAACAAAGTGAGTTCTTGTATAATACTTGAAACTTTGAAGAATAATAGAATTATTACAATAGAGAATATTGACGCTCAAAATCAAATGTCTCTATCATTTCTCCTGCTATATCATGACCATTTTCATGGGCTTTTTTGAACCATTTTAAGGCCATGTCCGAATCTTTCTTAATTCCGAATTCATATTGATAGCATTCAGCCAACTTAAACTGATCATGTTTGTCTCTTAATTCAGCAGATTTTTAGCACATTTCAAACGCTTTGTATTCATTTTCTACTGTTCCAGTAGCATCTTGCAAGATGATTGTAAGCTGAAATTTTGCCAGATTTTTTAAAATATATGAAGGATCTATTTAGATTTCTTAACATCTCGTATCCCAGATCATATAAATAATTAACAGAACTAATTTTATCATTCTCTGCTGATTTCAAATACCACTCAAACGCTTTTTCTTCATCTTTTTTATGTTCCTATTCCATTTTTATAGCGATAACCAATTTGATTTTGTCCCAAAGCATCACCATTTTCCGCTGATTTAATGTACCTCTCAAACACTTTTTCTTCGTCTTTTTGTGTTCCTATTATATATAAAGACACATTATTGTTTTGGTTTATACCTGTGTCATTAATTATTTTGATAAATGTTGAGGGCGATTGGAACTCTGTTTTTTCATAACTAACCGATTCATTAGTGTGTTTATAGTAATTTTCAGAGTCAGGTTTCTTAATATATAAACTTTTTCAAGAATAATCATAATATTCTTGTTCTTTAGAAGCGGAAGCGCGTTGGCTGGAACTAGTTGAATTCTTGTGATGTTTATGCCGACGGCGAGAGTATTTGTCGTCAGTCATCTCTTGTTTTTTGAAGATATTAGTTTCAGTAATTGTTAGGACTACATGATTAGTGTTTTCTATTGAATTACCCATTGCTGAAGTTATCGATGTAGATTCTGTGTTGAGTTTTTTTAAAGGAAGGCGTATCCATTTTTTAAATTGAAGAAATAAAGTGCTCACTATGCATATTTATACGTAATGGGCTTATGGACAGATTCGTCATGTGAGGGGGTAACGTTAGGATTAATGAGAAATCATGTTTTATTCATGACACTGTTTTTATCCATTTTTTGTTTTTTAATATCAATGTTAATTTTCGCCGTAATGATGCGAAGAGGTTTATCTAAACTGCGGAATGATACATTTTATATAGCAAAAAGATGAATATACTTTCATAAATTTAACTTTCGAAAATTTAAATGAGTAATTTAACCTGAATAAAAATACACTTAAAGAAACAAAAAATTCTCTTAATATAATTATTCACTTGCACTATTTCTCAAATAGCTCAAAACTATATAACTAATAATAAAAACACCACCAAAAGCAAACCCACTGATAGGTCCCAACGAGGCTGTGGCTCCAATGCTTTGTAATGCAGAGAAATTGCTTCCTAAAGGCACATATCCAAGATAACTGCTCATCCAAGCACTTGCGCAACTACTAGCCGCTATTCCATTCGAGGTAAATCCTATATTAGAGAGTATATAGAAAAACGTGAATTTTGCGGTTGCTGTAATAGTAACCGCGATTCCTGCAGCAGAAATCACGGCATGCTCGGTTGCAAAGTTGTAGGCTTCGGATAATTTTTCTTTGATTTTACTCGATGAAGGGAGATTTTCTTTTGCTTCGTTAACTTTTTGCTTGAGTTTGTTTGATGCATCGGATACCTTTTCTTTTATTTCGTCGTAGCTGGGTAGGGTTTCGATCATATCAGATGCTTTGTCTTTTATTTCATCGTAGCTGGGTGTGGTTTCGACTATATCGAATGCTTTGTCTTCTATTTCATCGTAGCTGGGTATGGTTTCGATTATATCAAATGCTTTATCTTTTATTTCGTCGACATCGATATCTTGAAATTTAGGTAATGAATCGGTAAATTTGAAATAAATAGGAAGCTCGAAAATTTTAAATTATTTATTACCTAGTTCAAATGATGGAATTTTCGGTAAGTCAACAGCGATGAGAATTAAACTATCGCGTTTAGAAAACGTTAAAGAATCGGGTGACGCGACTGGAATTCCATCCACGGTAAATTGGTATAACACGAAAAGTGTCACGGTAAAGTACACACTTAGAAATCTAATGCGAAGAAAAATATGAAATAGTTTTGTCAATTATTTGTATGAACCAATTTTTTGAAATACGCTCAACCCTCGTATAAGAAAATTGCATTTAAATGTTTTTATGTGAAGCAAAAAATTTTAAAACGTAGATTGCGCATACCTGCTATTAATCATCATATAAGTCGTAGAGTTTTCTGAATTTTTCAAGGTCTGGAAGTTGGTTATATCGATGTTTTTTTCCTCCAGAAACAAGATAAAGAATTTGCATAGTAGTTTCACAAAGAATCATATGACTGTTGTACAGTCTGCAGAAAAAGAACACGCCAAAGCTAATAGTAAAAACCCGCATATTCCTATTCTTCCAACTCCTCCTGCGGAATATAGGGAGGAGTTTCTCTATTGTATGTAGTGAAGCTGATATATGTACCGTTTTCTGTAATCACAAACTACCGGTTCTTACAAAATACGCAGCATGACCAATCAGAATTACAGTCAAACCCCTTTATAGTTACACCTGTTTATAGTCACACCTCTCTATAATCACCCAATTTTGCTTTCCCAAATTTTAATTAATAAAAATCTTTATAGTCACATCCTCCATTATAATCAAAAGCTGATATCCAGTAAGTAATTGTTCAATGTATGTTTTCAAATATGATTATTAATCAAATAATATTATATTTTAATTTTATTTAGAGCATCTACATTAGAATGTTGTTTTCCAGGTCTGTTGATAATATCATAATCATATCCATTAAGAGTTATAAGTCATTTTTCAAGTTTACCAGTGGAATTTGAGGTGAGCCAGAGCAGAATGATCAGTAATAACAAGAAATCTTTGTTCATATTGTTATGATTTAGATTTTCATTAAATCATAAAGTCATGTGCCATTAAAATCTTATATTCTTATTGGTTATATTTTATTTATATTTTATTGGATATTAT